CGACGGCCGAGAGTGTCGGTACTTCGATGACGTGTACTCGTTCTCCCTCGACACCAGGACCTGGAGTAAACTGACTCCTAGTGGCAGAGGACCTACTGCTAGGTCCGCTTGTGTTATGTTGCCTGCTGGGAGCGATTCGGTAAGTTTTGTACTGTTAGAAAGTATTTTATTTAAGTATCTTTCCCTAAAATGATCAATTGTTTTTTCCAAGAGTCAATTCAAATATACTGCTATATAAAACTTTTGAAAATGAAGAATAGGGTATCAAGTCCGATATTTTTTGGGCAGTAGTCTAGCTAAAGACACTTAATTTAATTAAAGTGTAACTATTGTGAACCTGACTATTCCTAAAGAATTACAAAAAAAACTATCTTCTGTTCAAACGAAGACTAATGAACAATATTTATTTATATTTCACAGCTTTTAATCTACGGCGGTTTCTCCCGTGTCCGCGAGGGTCGTTCAGAGCGTACTCAGACTCACACGGACCTGTTCCGTCTGTCGCACAGAGAGGGCGGCGGGTGGTCGTGGCGGGGCCTGGCCGCGGGGGGCCCCGCCGCGCCGCCCGCGCGCGCCGGCCAGGCCGCCGCCGTCAACCCACACAGTAACAGGGGATATGTGTTTGGAGGAATCAGTGTAAGTGTCTTGTCAATATTTATTACTTTTATAAGATCTGTGTACAGTAATTTTTAATCTAAGTAGTAGATAATTTGAATTTTGAAGTAAGAAGTATTGGAAAATAGGAAAGTTAATAATTTTATGTACAATATGATAAGGGCTGTTTACGAGAAAAAAATACTGAATCGATGTTTTATTTTAACAAAATTGCACAGCTCCAAATCAAAGTCCAATTTATGTTCACCAATACAGCGACAACTATGACAGCAAAAAAAAAATGTTAAATACTATATTATTAATTTATTCCAGGATGTAGAAGAAACAGAGGAAGAGCTCCGTGGCGAGATGAGTGATGACCTGCAACTGCTGGACGTGGACACTGGCAAGTGGCACATTGTTACATTACGGTCGGAACAACTCGGGGCCAAGCCAGTTGTCAAGGAGGAGGAACCGGCGCAAAAGGAAGAGGAGACTGTTACAGGTATTGTACTTTTTTGTTATTAATCATCTTCTAATATATTATTTATTACATAACAATATCAATTGACATTGATCCTTTTATCTTTTTTTTGATCCTTTGGGGGATCAAGCAGGTTACTGCAATGACCTTTTTAGTTTTCCCAATTACCCTCACCCCACCCCCAGTTTACCCAAATCTCAAAATGGGACAATCCTCAAATTCCCGATTCCTAAAAGGCCAGTAACGCATTTGTAACGCCTCGGTGTTTCGGTTGTCCTTGGGCGACGCCGGTTACTTAACATTAGGTGATGTGTCTGCTCGTTTACGGGCTTTAAAAAAAGCTATTTTTTTTACTTATAAAACATCTCCTAATTTTCAGTGGTAACCGACGAAGTGTTCACAATGAAGTTTGGTGGTGCCGCGGTACCTGTGACCGGGTCCCTGGCGGCGGCCTCGGTGGGCCCCAAGTCAGGCCCTGGCCCCCGCATGTCCGCCATGATGGCGGTGCAACGCGCCACGCTATATTTGTACGGAGGAGTACTAGAAAAAGATGACAAACAGTTCTATCTGTCTGATATGTATAGTTTAGGTAAGATTTTCTTATTATATTTCTTTTTTATCGGCAAACTCCTTAACCTTTGAAGGAGTTCTTTATATGTAGCATATCTTCTAGCTGTGTAATTCTCAGTAGTAGCACGAAGTCTGGAATTGTGCCCGGTATATGGCAATAGACTCACCCCCTATTACATGGGACTCGTAACATAAATAATGAAAAGTGGCTGTTACATTGTACAGTGGCATTAAGTGCCGTAATGTGCACCTCTACTTACCCTTTCAGGGCTAAAAGGCTTGATGATGTAATGTAATCTTCTAGCTGATAATACCTCTTTACGTCTGATTTTTAATACCAATGGTAGTTTGGATACGTCCGTATTCGTGCGAATACGCACGTATTTCATTTTACTGGGAACAGGTTCAATATTAGACCACTTTTTAGAATGTCTGTAACGAATTCCCTTTTTAATCCGTTGAAAATTGTTGAAAATCATCCCCTAAATTTGTTCCTACAAAAGTAGTCTCTAAACATTGGAAATAAGGTCTATAATGTAGTTAGTGGAGAGCGATCACCGGTGATCGCTTGGGGATATACCGGTTAAATAAATGTGTGACTGTCAGAAACCAGATACATAGACTGACTGACATATTACTAAATGCATAAATTTTAAAATTCAAGAGGATTGAAGAGGATTTATTTATTGAAATGCATTCTTTTATATGTTGAAAATTTTTGTGTCTATGTCAGTAAGCTGTATATTTTATTCACCTGATTCAAATGGCCAATTTGTTCAAACAAAAGTAGTCTCTAAACATCGGAACTAAGGTCGCTAATGGAGTTAGTGGAGAATAGTCACCGGTGACCACTTGGGGATTGATCATCATTTTACTATATTTATCTTACCTTCGTTATTATATATATGTATAAAAATGCCTTCCTCCCCTTTTCCCTTGGTCACGGCATCACGCGTGAATGGCTGGACCGGTTTCACTAATTCTTTTTTGTTGTATTTGTTATTATTAGGAGAATGTTCTTAAGACAGGAAAAATCTTCAAAATCCTACTGGGGAGTAAAAGCTAGTATAGTATAAAACTAGAATCTAATTATTATTATTTCTCTCTTTTCAGATTTACATAAACTAAATGAATGGAAGACGTTAATAGAACAACCTTCACTACCTGACTGGCTCGGATCAGACTCCGAAGATGAAGAGTCCGGCTCAGATAGCAATTCCGATAGCGATTCTGATAGCGGTTAAGCTAAAATGAATTTTATTATTAAGCAGTTAAGGTTAAAAGTCGAGTGTACTGTGATTTGAAATAAGTATAATTTGATATTTTTATAAGCTCTTATATGTCTATGTGTTTTAATCTACAGATTTACTGTTAGTCTAAACTGCTACTTATTGTATACGTGTTTAGATTCATTTTCCTATTCTATTTGTAATTAACGGTAAGATATAAAGAATAAAACATTTTTTATTACCAATAAACGACTTTCATTTTCACAAAAACTACTTCAATGGACTATCAATATCGTTTAACGGAAATCAGTCTTATTTGTGGGATGTAAGGTATGAATTTAAATGGCAAATGAAATAAAAGACCCTTTATACACGTGTTATCAGTTTTATTGTATGTACAGGTATTAAATCTACTCAATAATATATCTTTATAAAAACATTAGTCTAAATACACTCATCCTAACTCACATTTCACTATTCTCTGCGAGACAGTTGGGTATTATTTAAATATAATTACAATAAACTAGCGGACCCGACAGACGTTGTCCTGCATATCCACTTAAATGTATAAACAAAAATTTAATCAAATTAGTTCAGCTGTTTAGGATAAATAACCTAGACCACGACTGCTGGGAGCAGCCATTCGATAATTTTCCCGCCTTAAAAAAAAAGACCACGACTGCAGCGCCATCTGCCGGGCTGATTTGTGAATCTAAACCATCCAGGGCGCCACTCAAACGCGTACAGAAAAATCATTTAAATCGGTCAAGCCGTTTAGGAGGAGACATACCCACGTACAGCAGATTTATATAAACATATAAAGATATTGCATTAATTACTAGCTATGTTTTTTCTATAAAAAAATTATAAAAACTTTTTAAGGTATTTTTTAGTTCATACCTAGCTAATTAAAAAAAAATACAACATATTCGAAAATATACCTTGTGCGCATCAGTTTAAATTTGAAAATAAGTTTTATGATACTTTTTCTTTGAATAATATTTAAATAACACCCAATTGTAGCTCAAACATTACGTATACAGGTACCTAGATCGCATATGTAATGGAAAAACACTATTATATTATGCTAACCGTGAACATAGCACCTTTTCTAAATAAAAATCACCAGACACAATTTTTTCCATTAAATATGCTATATCATGATTTTTCCATACTGTAGAAAGAATGTAGCAGAATCTCCAATTCTTCCCATCGATTTAAAAAATTCATTAAAAACTGACTTCCATCACAAAAGTCCGATATGATTTCAAATATACATACAATAGGGTAGTTTCCTATATGTTATTTTAATGTCCGGCTATTAAAACTTTAGACACGTATTTTTTCTTTTTTACAAAATTAAATATTTTCGACTATAATATATTAATTTGAAATATCGTGTGACATCACAGCGTGTCACATTTTGTACCACGTTATGACGTAACGACCTCCCACTCCTTAACTTAGCGCCATTTTATATAATGCCACATAATATGAGAAAATAAAAAAATACGTGTCAAATATTATTTCATTATCTAACCGACGGAGTAATTAGATTTTTAATTTTGATACACTGGAAACTACCCAATTATTCCAATTTAAATATTGTATAATAAATATCATACTTTAATAACTTTTTTTCTTTCACCATTGTCCATGGGCACCCTTAGGATTATTTTCAAGGAGGAACATCTCATATCCTGAAATCTTTTCAGATTTTTCAACCTTATACCCATGTACCTACTAAAGCTAAAAATCTGTCAATGTTCATTAATATATTTATGCTGAGACTTAACTAACTGACTTAACTTTTTCCAGTATGGATATCAATCGAAAGGATTTGATTAGTGGAATAGAGCTCATGAAAACTGTTTAACATTAAAAAAAAATTGTTTACACGTCTTCTTTTTGAATTAGGAAAACCAATAATTGTCTTTACCCGCGCAGAAAGAAGCGAAAGGGAGTCTCAGACTGACTAACAACCACCTGTCCATACTCCTGTTTTGAATCGGAGCCCCGGAAACCAGCTAGGTCGTCCGCAACTTCGGATACTTTAAGTTTTTTTAAGGGGGGAAAATCATCGAATGACTGCTCCCGCCTGGGTGAGGCGGGAGGGAGTGTCAGACTCTTACTAAAAACCACCCCGTTCTCCTGCGTTCCGAGCCGGAGCCCCGGTAACCCGCTAGGTTCTCCGCTACATACTTTAGGATTGGGCTGGTTTTTAATAGAAATCTTGAAAGATCTCCTTGATAAACTTTATTTGATAAGATGTGCACGTCTTTGAAAGTAATCCTGATGGCGCTCAAATGTAGGTATTATAAATAACAACGACAGTTATGAAACTTTCGCAATTTACATTGTTTTAAATAATTAAAATGTGTTCCAAACGCTAAAGCCAGACATGGTTTTTGTGTTTATGTATAATTATGTACCATTGTAACAGACACTTCAAACAAATGGTATTTTCGTGAAATGTCTAGAACGGAAGTAGAATTACTATACGGATAATAAATAAATACGATGTAATAACTAATAATAAAACCATTCCTCATTCCGCTAATTTTATTGGATAAAACAATAATTACTTTACTTTTGCTTTTACACAATCATATCGATGTGCTTACATTTTTCATGACGTTTTTGTTACAAATCGTACCTGTCTGTGAATTCAATTCAGTTTTTCGTTCGACTTTTTTCTTGACATTCGTTTTCACACACGGCCAATCATGTCCGCGGAAATAATCGTTAGTAGCATTGATTAATACATAAAATCGCAGTTCATAATGAGTTCTTTATACGTTTATTAGATACATGCAATTATTCATATCGGTACCCTGTTACACAATATTTCATTACACCGTATAAAAAAACTACAACTTTCTAGCAACGTTTAGTACGGTCTGCTACACTGGCGGTTGATACAAACTGAAGTTTACGCTTTCCGGTCGCTATAAACCCTTGTTTAATATATCAGTTCTTCACTTCTGGCCTACGAATGTACATTTGCATTATATTACCGTATTAAGAATCCGTTAATATCACTTTCTATTGATCGTAGCGATGCGTGTGCATTCAACCGCCAATGAGGCAAACTGAGCAAAAGGTCTTTAAAGATTCCATTATCTAATAAATGTTAAATATGATTATTTACATTATTGAGACCGACAGTTCCAGTATTTTAAATAGATTAAAAATAAAGCGAAAATTGCCATGACTGATCTAACTAACTGATTATGCTTAAAAGTAAAATTATTCGACTTAGTTTAGTTTATAGTTCGGGAATTAAATTGAAAACAACTTTTAATAGAATATTTTATTCCTGGTACAAATAAGTACATTATTGTTCTATATAAAATATTCAAACTGCGTCTCAGAAGTCACTGAAATACGTACATATAAATATAAATAAAACACGGGCCGTTTAGTGTGGTGTACATTCGATTTGTGCGGTAAATAATTCTTAAATAGATGGCACATAGCGATACCATATAGCTTGGTCCCCGTACTCTTGGTATACGATTTATGATGTTCTTTTATTATGTACTTTATAGTTAAGGGTATAAAATTCGTATTGCATAAATTTTCTATTGAATTGTTTCTTAGCAATACTATATGCTCGGTAAATGCGCGCATCCTCTTGCCGACAATTACTTTAAAATCAAACGTTCTACTCGTCTACGGGTTGAAGTCAAACTTCATCAAAAGCACAAAGGAAGGTGTGAATGATAATCGCCAAATCAAAAACGAAATTACATTTTAAAAATATATTTTTTATTATTTCAAATTAGTTGAAAACGTGTAAAATTGTACACTTTCTATTTGATTATTTGCTACACAGTACCTTCCTCTGCTTGTTCCAATATTAAAAATAATTGTGCGTGTTATTGTCGCAGCTGTCTTATACTAAAATGTACCAAACAGACAAAATGACTTAGATTTTTATCCAACAGCTACATCCAAAACATCAATTCCAAGTGTTTAAGAAGAAAATTTTAACAAAAATATCAATTATAGGGAATTATGAATGTATCTCTTAAGCTGCGACTTATATGACATGTTTACATACACGACGCCACATTACGTATAAAAAGAAATAACACTTAGAATATTATACACTGGTGTCACTTATCTACGTGTAAAAAATATTCAATTTGCAATCTGTCAGCCGCTTAACCATTTCCCTTAATTATAACTTTGCCTGCGACACGAAATTGCAAATTAAATTCTATACTAGCAAAGTAAAGCTGAAGCCAAAATCGTAGATAAATATTTTAACGAAAAAATATTATTATTAAAATTAAAATATGAATACATATTATGTAATAATAAAATCGAAATAATCATTATATCAGTCGGTTAAATGATTAGTATTTATCTTAGTCCGAATGAAATAATATTATTATAATTTGCGTGTAAAATATAAATCGAAAGCAAATCAGTCTATAAACTTACTTATACAAATTATGACTAAGTTTTATGTACATTTTTAGACATGTTTTTTTTAGTTTTTTATAGTCTGTGGTTTAAGTGCCAAAATATATGATATATGTGCCGAAATATATATATTTAAAGAAATTTCAAATTCGATTTTTTTAAATTCAATTTAGTTTAGTTATGTGAACTTCATTGATGAATAAATAATTAAAAAGTGAAAATAATAGGGTTGTAAAATTCGTTAAAACAAAATTTTACAGCAATTAATTTTGGCGCCAAGCCACAGACTATACAGCATCGTACAGACATACTTATATACTAGTAAAATAAAACATACATTCACTATCTACCGCGGTATAATTTACACTTTATTTACACGAAAAAAGATCATTTAATAAATACATAATTTGGCTGATTTCAATTTTAGCTAAATTAAAAATATATAATGCCATAATATTTTATTTAATTGCCAGATTAAAAAAATACTCCCCATTTATTGTCGTTCACTTTTCAAAAGGGTTGTACGGAAATGTAACGGAATTATTTGAAACAAAAATAAATTAATTCACTACACAACGCACTGTGTATAAATTTGTTGAATGTCATTGTCCGTGTTGTAACGTTCCGTAACTTGCCGAGTCCACAATATCACAGTAGCGCGAGTGCGCTGTAGCTTCCCTGGGTCGCTCACTGACTAGGCTATATACAAACCACACGATTCCTATACACGTTCATTACTAGAAGAGACTTTAGAAGAGGTCGGTGACTATGGTACCGAACCAAGCGCAGACGACGGGCAGTGCGTAGGTGATGAGTGCTCGTTGTAAGGCCGGGCTGTCTGCGGCGCCGGCGACTGGTTGTTCCCTTGTAGGTATATCTTGAGGAGGAGGACGAGGCACTTCGCTGTCTCTATCAGATGTATCAGGGATCTCTGGAGTGTCGCCCGTGTCAGTTTGAGGTGGTATAACTATACCCACGTCCGTGTCTGGTCCGACTCGGCCGCGTACATTGACGTTGTTCGTGGCAGGCGAGTCTATGATGGATGGTATGATCGGTGCTTCTGTCACTGGTCGAGGTTGTGGTGACATCACTTCGGGTTCGCGTTCGGTTTGCTCGTCTTCCGCGTCAGGTGGACTGTCGCCTGAACCTGGAAATGAGGGTTATAAGTTGAAAAAATATTTGTGGAGGCAGCATTTTGTTGTAATCTACTTCAGTTAAAAAAAATCATCATAGAACATAATTGTGCCAAGTCATTTTTGCTGCTTAAATATTAATATATCTTTAACAATCTAAAGCTTTTTGACAAAACAACTTTAACTACTTCATTTTCAACCTTTGGACATAGAATCCCTTAAAAAAATGATCAGAAAAATAATAATGAACCCTCAAAATACATACCAGTATCGTATCCATTAAGCCTGTCCTCGTCATCATCAGGCAGTCCGTCGCTGGTGCCCCAGTCCCCGGACCCGGAGCCAGACTCCACGTCCTCCAAGATCTCGCGACCGAAAGAGTTGGCCACTTGTAAGTCTGCAAGATAACAATTTCATTCAATTAATGGTATGCCCATGCCCACTTGTGTGAACAAAGATTTATCCAAGGGCGTCGAAAAAAGGGGGATATAATGTCATATAATGAAACACCGAAATGTCTTCAGAACATGAAATAGATTCCGGAGACTAGTAGGGGGGCAATTGGGCCTCTGGTAACCTCACTCATACGACGAAACACAACGCAAGCGTTGCTTCACGTCGGTTTTCTGTGAGGCCGTGGTATCACTGCGGTCGAGCCGGCCCATTCATGCCGAAGATGATTATCGACTTACCTTTGCCATCGGTATCAAGCCACTGAACTTCGACTCCATTGTAAGCGTCCTTAAGTCGAGCGGTTAAAGTCCGTAGAGAATCTCCTTGCGTGGCAACACTAGCGACCGCAATAGGGCTGGCAACACCTCGCACTTCGGGGTTGCTAGCTAAACCCGCTGTACCTTCACTGGCTGCGTTTAGAGTGTAGCTGTAATTGAAATAGCAATAAATATTTAAAATATGTCCATATGTGTAGTGTCTAAGATCGATGTTTGCCTAATTTCTTTTTTAAATAAAGTTAAAAGTAAAGAAATAGGCATCTTAATTTGGTCCCATGTTGGGCGCCATATTTATGTAACACAATTTTTTTTGTAGTTTAAAGTGAATGCCGGTAATGATATATTTTTTTTATTATAAGTATTACTATACAATTTACATCTTTTAATCTATCATTTTTTTCAAATTACACTCAAAAGTAATATTGCTAATATTCTTACCTGGCAACATCAGTTCCATTGAAGCAAGGTGAGCTGGTAACACTGGTGGAGGTGCAGAGTAGTGCGGGGAGATGGTTCCAGTAGCGACGCGTGTTGCGCATGCGCACCCGAGTCTCACGGACAAGCTTCTCTAGCGCGGGTCCACCCCAATCTGATCCTGTGAGGAGAAAATAATAAAAAGTGTTATTTGTTGTGTCATTGAAATTAAGTATTAATATCATTTACTTTTAATTTTTCTTGCAAGCTTCTTATTTTAGTTTGTCCTTTATTTAAATTGGGAGAACTTAATAATGAGTACTATCAGTTGTTTATAACTTGTAAACAAACTTACCGCGACTCTCTTCGCTTTTAGCCGAAGGCTTCTTCTTCTTAGGTCCCTTCTTCTCATCGAAATCGTACGACTTGAAATCGATATCCATGTTTCCAGCGGCGGCGGGCTCCGGGTCGGCGTCCCGACGCTTCCTCTCATGTTCCTCATACTCCTCAAGGTCGATATTACCCCTCATGTACTGTAAGAACCTCTCTCGAGACTTCGCTTGTTCCGCCATCTCCTCCGTAGCCTTTCGAATACCTTCAGGAGTCCGTAAGCTTGCTAATGACGGATCCTCGTTCACAATGCTCTCAAATGAAGCTTCTATTTCGAAATCGTCAACGTCATCGACTCTTTGTGGCCAGTCGAAGTCAGGTATGGCTCGTATGGATCGTTTCGTCTTCCCTGGTGCAAAGAACGGTCCAGCACCACCACCGCCGCCCAGGACGGGTTTCCCACACCCCGTGAATATTTTTTGCGATATCTCCCTGTTGTGCTCCTGGAAGCTCATGATCGCTTCGGATATCTTTATGTCTATGGGCTCGACCACCATAGCGATGTTAAATGGACCAAGCAAACGGTCGGCCACTTTATCTACGGCGTCTGTGAATTAAAAAGAAATATTAATAACTCCATTCTACTCAGTTTGACCCACGGATCAGGCAAACTATTATTGGTTTTATTGGTTTTCGAACCGCAGTAACTAATTAGACATCTTCTGGGATCTTCTTCTATATTACATGGAATCAAAAGTATATCTAGCCAAACGCTGGATTATTCAATTTCGATTATTCCTGCTAGTTCGGGACATAAAATGTTTATTATATATGTAAATAGTAGTTAGCGAGTTTACTGACCGACATAGGCATCCCACTGGTCTCCGAGATCGGCGTGTGCGGGCAGACAGCCGCGGATGACGTTGTGACAGTAGCGCGTGCAGGCGGGTTGCTGATACCCGGCGCACCCGCCGCAGTACCGGAGCCGCGCCCATGACGTCACGCACTCGGATGTTACTGGCACCTTACCGTAAACAAGAAAACATCATTTCTAAACAATAACACTAAAAAAGCTCTAAACAATATTTGCAAATTTTGCGGTGTGACGTACTAACTTATAAATAACGTCTGCTCTTTAAAACATCAAAAGGATGCTGTCTATTTCAAGATAGATAGATATCTCAGCACACATTGTGGGCGTACAGAATAAGTAGGCACCTATCTACGCTTCAAACAGGACCGCGTTATCTACAAGTTCGTTGATCTAATAAAGGCAAGCAAACACATGAATAAAACCGAACGATTGTTGCTATTGTGCCAATTAAATAAACTCACGTAAAGGCAACAAGTGAAGCTCATAAAAATAAATCAAACGGAGCAAGATAACAATTATAATTAATAAAGCCAAGGTCTTGGTGTGTCACTGAAGGCGCCAGGATCAACGCTCGGCAAATGATTCGCGTGGATAATGAGTCATTTTCTAAAATGATAGCCTGCGCCTCAGACAGTCCGCAAGTTGAAGGTCAGCGCCAAACAGAATACATATTCGCATTGATTAGCGTATATTTGCATTCTAATAGTGCGGTTGACATTGGGAAAATTAAAACGTGCACACAATTTGGCGATGTTGGTCAGTAAAGCCAAGAACGTCGCGAAAACTAATCGCCGATGATATAATATGATTGTCCAATTATCAGTTCTGAACGTTGAGAACCTTTTAGGAGTTCGGAGAATAGAATAGGAGCGAGCGCCATACGTGCTGGAAGATGTTAGATAATGGGTGATTTATGTTTCGTATTGTCACTTCTATCTTCCGGGTGTCACTGTCGGGTGTCGGGTGAATCACAGACATTAACAAGCTCGTAAACTAATCATATAGCAAGACTCTAAACTTAATTTCGCTGCCATTATTCATGAATGGTAGGCGGAATTGTATTGTTTACATTCATATTTATTCATAGGAATGAGAGCTCGCAGTTAGCGTTTTGCGTGGGCACACAAAGAGTGTAAACACAGTTTTGACCTACCCCACTGTAGGGCTAGCTTTCCGTTATTCTGTTTATCATAATTAGCCGGAATAAAGATAAACAACTAAAGTGAAAGATAACTGTTTGATATGACTCTGTAGTTGTTTAGCGATAATACGCCTAAAAGTAGTAGATCGTTTTTCTTCTCCCGATAAAAATAGCTTGAAATATGCTCTAAATAAGCACCCATCTCTTGTTAGTTGTCCAGAAAGTTCCAGAAGGTTTCTTTCAGCTTCTTACCTGCATCATACCCCTCACAACATCAGCGCCGGCTCTCAACGCCTTGTGGAAGGTGCGCGTGGCGACGACAGCTCTTCGCAGCTGTACTGATAGCTTCTTGGGAACGTCTTCGAATGGTTGGATATCTCGCATATGTTCGTTCACGCATTTCAAATACCTGGAACAGAAGAATTCGTTAATTTTGTCACCAAATTGTGTTTATCGTGTAGATTTAAGGAGCTTGCTGGTGATTTGGCTTGTGTAGTTTTCACAAATAAATCCACACAACTCTTGGAACAATGCATAGATTTAAATTACCTTTAATGTGCATCAGAACTCGACAAAGAAAGTTTTGAAATCGTCGTATTTTTTTTAAGGGTGGAAAATCATCGAATGACTGCTCCCGCCTGGGTGAGGCGGGAGGGAGTGTCAGACTCTTACTGACTAAAAACCACCCCGTTCCTTCTCCTGCACGTCGAGCCGGAGCCCCGGTAACCATAGAAGAGTTAAAATTAGTGTATATTGAAGTGAAATAAATACTGCTATTAGAATACCATGAGGTCATGTATGCTGGATGGCAAAACTACAATTATTATAACTGACAGGCCAACAGGCTTGAAATTCTTCGCAAAAATTGTCACAGCCATCAATCGAGCGGCCGACGTTTACGAGCTTAACTAAATGCTTTATAGAGGTACATATATACATACAAATTATACTACTACAGTAGGTACCTACATGAAATTTTATTACCACCTCCCGTTGTTTTGTCCCTGACTTCAATCTCGAAGCACTTAAGAAGGATCTTATTGGCCACTCACTTTGTTAAGTAGTCACACAATTTGACACAATGTGTGTTTTTAAGCTTTGGATAACCTACTTAGTAGTTAGGTAGGCGGATTTTATAAAGAAAGAAGATACTTGCACAGAATAACATAAAAATAAAACGACTGTTATGCAGTGCTATTAAGACGTGTAATTTGCAACTTTATTTATTTATTTAAGACTTAGTACAATAACAAATGTACAGGCGGACTTAAGGCCTTGGGCATTGTCTCACAGTCGACCTTAAGGTGGCGCAGAGATGAAAGTGGCAGGTGAAAAGCAATTTATTTAAAAGCTTACCACTTTACTTATATCGCCATTTGTCATAGACAAGAGCATTGCGAAAATTCGCGTGCATTTATTGAGGTGCGACTCGATAAAAAACTTGAAATCCATAACATTATTTGTTACCCCTTTTCCCGGCTCGGGTTAAGAAGTAAAGTAAGAAACACTACCTACTGTCCTGACTTGACCCTATCACTATACGGAAAAATTACATAAATAATACGAGGTCAATAAATTGAAAAATTGTAGTCAGAGATTCCCGCCGTAACTGATACTAATAAAAAAATATGGCGGACAATTCTATAGTCTATTCTTTTAGGTGTGGAACATTAAAATGATTGGGCTCTTGCGTCATTCTAAACATCTTGTGACAAAGCAAAGGATGTCACAATCATTTGTAAATTATATAAAATATTCAGCATTTTATACTCATGTCGTGTTTAATCGAGGAATGATGTTAATTCTTCGTCTTGTACCAAAGCGGCTATGTTTCATTAATTAATTGTCGACTTATAGCTAAATGTTTGCCTTTTTGTTTTGCCGACACTATTCAGTAAGGTATTTTGGACTTTGCATAGCGTCAAAGTCAAACTTTTAAAAATGAAGCTATTTGCTCATTCCAATGTGTAGATTTCTATAGAGAAGAACGAGCAAGAAACTCCATAGGTTACTCTTTTTCAACCATGTGTGTCGTGTCTATGTTAGTTAATTGTTGAATTTGCTTGATTTAATTGCAAAGTCGAGCCAAAGTTCGTCATCTTATACGTCCATGGTTCTAAACTAAATAAAGGTCTCCTTCTTACGAGGATTTTGCCATAATTGCCACGCTTAGCAGGCGGCTGAGCATTTGATACATCGAAAATTCAAAGAGGATACGGGGTGAAATGAATTAAAGTTGTGCATTTATTTTAAAATTCTCGCTACGCAGTGCATTTATTTATTTATTTATTTATTTATTTTACATAAGTACAGATACAGACGACAGATTGAAATAGTACACAACAATCTCAATTATAAATAGTGAGCGAACCTGAAGTCCAATTACAACTGTACATAATCCATTTATATCAAATTACATAAACAATTCCCAAATGTTAATCCATTTTACTATAATAAATTTTGTTCAATTTATGAAAACTAAAAATTACTAAAAACAGGCCATACAAGAAATCAAAGGTAACAAAGGTACAAAGGGAACAACTGAATGAGTGAACAACAATCCTGAAACAATGGCGTAACGACACATATCATGCTCATCGAGCGTCGCTGTGACGCAGAAGGAATTTTTTAAAAGCACTGTGTTTGTCATGAAATATATCCACTTGAGCGCAAATAGAATTATAGTTTTTACACATTCTATATAGAGGATTGTTTTCTGAGACATTATTATTGCTAGTAGGAATATTAAACACTCGAGGAGTACGAACAGACCGAGTCGGTATTCTTAAATTTAAATACTCAATTAGGCCACTATCCATTGAACAGTGAACAATTTTATGGAGGATACATAAGTCGCTCATCCACCTTCTATGCTCCAAAGTTAACAAGGAGAATCTCTGCAGCCGATCTTCATATTGGGGTATTTTGCGTCTTAACCCAAATTTTGAGCACATAGCTCTTACAAAACGTCTCTGAATTGCCTCTATTCTATCCGTATGGACGGTATATATTGGTGACCATACCGACGAACAGTATTCCAAGATACTTCTTACCAAAGAGCTATATAAAACTATCATGGTGCTAGGGCGTTTAAATGGTTTTGCAGATCGGAGCACGAATGACAGCATACGGTTTGCTCTACTACATATTGACTCGTACTGAGGTCTAAAAGACAGAGGGGAGTCAAAAACCACCCCCAGATCGCGCACAACTGTAACTCTCTCAATAATGGTTCCCTGAATGTGGTAATTATACTGCAACATGTTCTTTTTATTTTTTGTGAATGTAATAACCTGACATTTTTTTATATTCAGAGACATGCGATTCCTACTGCACCAATCAATAATAGTATCGATGTCTGTTTGGAGAGTTTCACAGTCACTACGATCAGATATTCGTTTAAATAGCTTTATGTCATCAGCATAGGCCAAACACTCACTTTTGATCACACCCAATAAGTCATTAACAAAGATTAAGAACATCAATGGTCCTAGATTGGATCCTTGAGGGACGCCCGATGTTGCCCGGTATGGAACAGAATCATATCCACTAAGATTAACCAGTTGGGAACGATTTAACAAGTACGATGTAAGCCATCTATACAGATTGCCATGCATTCCCATACCACGAGATTTTGCCAATAGAATAGAATGGTCAACGCGGTCAAAGGCCTTAGAAAAATCTGTATATACCGAGTCAACCTGCGTTTTACAGTTAAAGGATTCGCATATATAATTTGTATAATGCAGCAGATTTGAATCCGTGGACCTACCCGCCACAAAACCGTGTTGTTTTGGACTCAATATATTTCTAAAGTGGCAATATATATGCTTATATATAAAGCTTTCAAATATTTTGGCGAAGCAGTTAAGAACGCAAATCGGACGATAGTTTGAGACGTCCCCCTTATCGCCCGACTTGTATATCGGGGTAACCCTGGATATCTTCCACAATTCCGGGAAGATTCCCTCACTCAGCGACTTGCTGAAAATGATATGCAAGGGATCTACCAATGCCGCCGCACATATACTAATAAATACTGGTGGAATACCGTCAAAACCACTACCCTTAGTCAAATCTATTCGTTTTAATTCGTTTAGAAGGTCGCTCTTCGCAATATACAAGTCTCCAATCGTAAAGTTTGAAGGGCCACAATCCGGGATACAAACTCCTGGTGCGCCAGCGCAATAAACCGATGAAAAGTAGTCCGCAAAGAGGTTGACAATATCGGTACCTGAAGAACCAATTTTATCATGATAGTAAACATGACTGGGCACGGTATTGGTAACTTGTTTGCTTTTGGTATACCGCCAGAATGCTTTAATATTGATTTTAAGATCCTCCTCTATTCGTTCAATATACGTCTTGAAACATTGCCGTGCAAGCACTTTCGCCCTAGCCCTGAGCATTGAAAACATGTCATAATCTCTTGGATTCCTATATCGTTTAAATCTAGTGTGGGCTTTGTGCTTGGTTGCTAGTAATTTTATGAGACTTTTAGAGAACCACGCAGGGTACCTATTGCCAGAAGCCTTAGATTTCGGAGTGAACCTTTGTATAACCGTGTAAAGATGATTGTAAAAGAACAGAACAAACTCATTGCACCCCATATTCAAGGCATGACTTTCCCAGTCCATCTTTCCGATCTCTCGCTTACAGCTATCAAAATCAGTTTTTCTATAGCAAAATTTGTTAACCGAACTATTTTGACGAAGAGTGGAAGTACTGGTTTGTATTATTATTTCAAATGGCGGGTGATGATTGTCGAGACGACTTATAGGAACTGCCGGAATCACAGCAATTGTCTCAGGTCCATCCACGACCACTAAGTCGAGAATTCGATTATTTTGGTTCGTGTGAAAATTCAACTGTCGTATCGGATGTAGTTGAAACAAATCATAGATAGACCTGGACTTCTCGCAGCTATGATCTACAGGACAGCCTGTTTCGGGCGACCACGTTATGTTACCCAAATTGAAATCCCCCACAATGCAAGTAAAAAACTTATCATTAATTCTGTGACCACACACACTCAAAAAACCTTTTACTATATGCGTTGGCAAATAATCAGGAAGGTATACAATGCACATATTTATAGTTATAGATTCATCTACCTTGATTTGCAGCCACAGATCCTCCACATGCTCCGATTCCCAGTCCCTTCTACACAAGATCTGAAGCTTTTTGGAATATGCAACCAGCACACCCCCACCATGACTTTTTTTGTACCGAGTCCGAAAACCAACATCCCGATCCCTTCGCAATACACAGTATCTGTCGTCAAACAACTCCGAAGACATAACAGTGTCATCAAGCCATGTCTCAGTGAAACATATGATATCATAGTTATTAATTAAAATTGAATTATAAATTTCAACAGTCTTAGTTTTGATACCTCTAACGTTCTGG